CCCCCCCCCGCTGACGAAATGACGTGCTAAGGCATTTATCCACGGCATATTATAAGGTTGGGCGCTGTACATCTGCTCGGTTTATCTTATATATATATAGTTTTTTTTTTTTCCCTTGCTTCCGTTTCTCTGTCTGTCCGTCTGTCTTTCTCTCTCTTTCTTCTCTCTCTCTCTCTCTCTCTCTCTCTCTCTCTCTCTCTCTCTCTCTCTCTCTCTCTCTCTCTCTCTCTCTCTCTCTCTCTCTCCCTCTCTCCTCCCTCTCTCTCTCCACCCTCTCCCTCCCTCCACCCTCTCCCTCCCCTCCACCCTCTCCTTCTCCTCTCCCTCCCTTCTCCTTCTCCTTCTACCTCTCTCTCCTTCTCCTTCTCCCTCCCTCCACCCTCTCCTTCTCCTTCTCCTTCCCCTGTCCCTCTCTCCCTCCCCCTCTCCCTCTGCCCCCACCCCCCTCATTCAAACAGTGCAACGAATAACAATAAAAAATAGAACAGTTAACGGACTCTACCATGTTGAAGAACAGCGCTACATACCTGCAACAGAAAAGAAAACAGAGCATTAGTTAAAAATATATATTAACTGCTCGATTGCAATAACCATTATGACGTTGATGATGATGGTAATAATAGCATTCGTAATGGTGATAATACCAGTAATGATAATAACAAAATACCAACATCATGGTAGTAATGATAAGTGGTAGTAATGATAAGAATGATAATGATAATAACAGTAATGATAATGATAATGATAAGAATAATCATGATAATGATAATGATAATAATAATAATAATAATAATAATGAAATGAGAGATAACAAATGACAATAATAATAATAGATGATGACAATTATGATAATAGTAATTATTATATGATAATAATAATATAATGATAATAATAATATAATGATAATAATAATAATATAATGATAATGATAATAATAATAATATAATGATAATGATAATAATAATTAGTTATGATAATGATAACAATGATAATAATAAGAACATTTACAAAAGCAACAAAAAACACCACCACTAATAATAATGATAAAATTTGACAACAAAGACAACGCGAACCAAAACAACAAACAGACAACAACAAAACAACAACAACAGAACACTTATCCCTCTCCCTCCATTCCCAAAAACAAAAAAAAAAGAAAAGAAAGAAAAAAAAAAAACACGGAAAGAAAGAAAGAAAAAGAAAAAGCACGAAAAATAGGGGAAAAAAAAACACGAAACGAAGAAAGAAAGAGAAAAGCACGAAAAATCAGGGAAAATACTCAAAAAAAAAAAAAACAAACACGGAAAGAAAGAAAGAAAGAAAAAGCAAGAAAAATCAGGGAAAATACACACACACACAAAAAAAACAACACGGGAAAGAAAGAAAAAAAAAAGCCAGAAAAATCAGGAAAATACACAAAAAAAAAAACACACACGGAAAGAAAAAAGAAAAAAGACAACGAAAAAATCAAGGAAAATACACAAAAAAAAAACACGGAAAGAAAGAAAAGAAAGAAAGCACGAAAAAAAAATCAGGGAAAATACAACAAAAAAAAAAAACACGGAAAAGAAAGAAAGAAAAAAAGCAAGAAAAAAATCCAAGGAAAATACACAAAAAAAAACGGAAAGAAAGGAAAGAAAGAAAAGCACGAAAAAAATCAGGGACCATACACATACAATAAAAAAAAAAAAAAAAAAAAAAAAAAAAAATGCGGAAAGAAAGAAAGAAAGAAAAAGCACGAAAAATCAAGGAAAAATACACATAAAAAAATCCGAATAACCGTGGAGAAAGCGGAAGACACCCGAAGCTCTCAGATTCTTGCGGTGGCGATGTCCCCGCATTCTGCCACTCGTCTCGCGGTGTCACTTGACTTCAGGGCAACTGTAAGCGACCCGGGTTCAAGGAGGAGACAGGTGATGTGCTTTTGTTTTTATAATTTATTGTATTTCTATTTATTTATTTATTATTTATTTTTGAGAGGGAGAGATAGGGGAGGGTGCTGTTTTTTATATCTTATAGTAACTGGGTAAGAAAAACCCACAGTGGCACGAAACTCAGAATTTATTGAAGAAAAGTGAGACAACAGTTTCGGAATCGTCCTCGATTCCCATCTTCAGAATACCCGAAGATGGAATCGCGGACGATCCGAAACTGTTCTGTTTTCACTTTCTTCAATAAATCTAAGTTCGTGCACTGTGGGTTTTTTTCTACCATAAGTATCAAACATCGTACTAGGAGGGGACAAGGAGGAAGGGGAGGGTAAGAAGGGGGGTAGAAAGAGAGAGATGGAAGAAGAAGAGAAGGGGAAAAAGAGAGAGAAGGGAGAAAGAGAAAGAGAGGGAGAAGAGAGAGAGAGGGAGAAAGAGAGAGAAGGGAGAAAGAGAGAGAAGGGAGAAAGACGAAAGAAGGTAATAAAAGAGAGCAAGGAGAACAAGAGAGAAGGGAGATAAAGAGAAACAGAGGGATAGAGAGATTAGATAGATGAGAGAGAGAGAGAGAGAGAGAGAAGAGAGAGAAGAGAGAGAGGAGAGCAGAGAGAGAGAGAGAGAGACGAGAGAGAGAGGAGAGAAGTGAGTTTTTGTTTTCGTCGGCTGAATCGCGACCCGGCCAATCGACGCTTCAGGTAACTTTTCTCGATCAGCGGAATTCCTCTTTTTTTTCTCTTTTTGACTGTTTTTTTCGAGAACTCTTTAACAAAAATGTTTTTTTTTTTTGGGGTATTGCAAGCTAAAACAGTTTCCGTCTGTGTTTGGGGTGGGGGGTGGGGGGGCCGCTTGATTTACTTTCCTCTTCTGGAATACAGGATGCACATATCATATATTTTTTTTGCTTCTTTTCTTTTTCTTCTTGTTCGTTTCCCCCCTTCTTCTTCTTCTGCTCATATGCTCCTTCTCGCTCCTCCCTCCTTCTTCTCTTTTCCTCCCTCGCTCCTCTCCTTCTCTCCTCCTCCTTTTCAACTATTTATCCCTCGTCTCGCCATAACCTTCGTCCAGCATCTACCGCCCTCTATTCGACAAGCGCAATTCAGATTCCACTTGTCCACCGGACGGGGGGTGGCGACCATAACCCAAAAATTCACCCTCTGAATTTTGCCGGCAGGCAGGATAATTAGGCCAGCAACACTAACAACAATTAAAATACACAAAACACTCATCAAAAAATAAATAAAAATAAAATGGGGATAAGACAAACCTAACCTCCTCTGCTTACTACTTCTCTTTATCTGCCTCATTCACTACTCATTCTCACCCTCCAATATCGGCTTGTCCAGGAGATTAGCCACAACAACAACCCAAAATACAACAAACAACTCATAAAAATAAAAAACAAAACCATAGGGACAAGCTCTCCCTACCTCTCTCTCTTATCTCATCCGCCATATTCACTCACTCTTACTCACCCCAAATCGGCTTGTACAAGCGAGAAATTAGCCACAAACAACAAACAACAACAACACTCCTAAAAAAATAGATAAAAGATAAAAGAAATAAGAACAAACCTTCTCCTACTGCTCTCTGCCTACTCATCCACTCATATTCACTCACTCCTCACTCACCCCAAATCGGCTTGTACAGCGAGAATTAGCCACAACAACAACAACAAAATACACAAAACACTCATAAAAATAAACAAAACCATAGGGACAAAGCTCCTCCCTACTCTCTCCTCTACCTCATCTCACCTCATTCCTCACTCCACTCGCTTACTCACCCCAAATCGGCTTGTACAGCGAAGAATTCCGCAACAACAACAAACACTCCTAAAAAAATGGATAAAAGATAAAAGAAATAAGAACAAACCTTCTCCCTACTCTCTCCCCTATCTCATTCACTCATTCTCCTCACTCTTAACTCCACCCCAATCGGCTGTACAGCGAGAATTAGCCCACAACAAAACAAAATTCACAAAAAAAGGACTCATAAAAAAGCAACTAAAATAAGTAACAAAGCTCCTCCTACAAGAAACCTCTCCTACACCTCATTCACATATTCTCACTCACTCTTACCCGGGCTTGTACGAGGAGAATTAGCGCCACAAACAACAACAGAACAAAAACACAAAACACTCTAAATTGAACATAACAGTACAGGAATATAAACCTCCTCCTTATCTCACCCTACACCTCTCCCATAACCTATTCCCCTCATTCCCTCACTCCACAGTCTTTATCACCCAAATCCGCTTGTACAAGCGAAGATTAGCCCACAAACAAAAAACAAAAATCCAAAGCTCATAAAGCAACAAAATAAAAGAGTACAAAGCTCTCCTTAAAAAGACCTCTCCCCTGCCTCATTCCCTCATTCACTCACTCTTACTAGGAGAGACCACCATAGTCGGACTTGTACAGGCAAGAAAATTATTAGCCACAACAAAAACAACAAAATACACAAACAGACCTCATAAAAAAGACAACAAACAATAGATAAGCTCCTTAACACCTCCTCCTACTCATTCACTCTCATGACCACTCTCAACTCCACTCTTCCGGGCTGTACAGCGGAGAATTAGAGCCACAACACAACAGCAAACAAAATTACCAAAACACTCCTAAATTGAAACATAAAACAATAAGAATAAACCTCCTCCTTACTCTGCACTACACCCTACACCTCATCCCCTACTCATTCTCATTTCAACTCACTCACTCCTTACTCACCCCAAATCGGCTTGTACAGCGAGAATTAGCCACAACAAACCAAAATAACACAAAGACTATTAAAAAGGCAACCAAAATAGTTAAAAGCTAGCCTTTACTTTTTTGCTTCTGTTGAGTTTTTGTTTTTTCTTTATCCTCCCTTTTACAGTCTCCCCTGCCTCATTCCTCATTTTTCTCATCACTCTTACTCAACTCCCATAATGGCTTTGTACAGCAAGACTTAGCCCAACAACAACAAAATACACACAAAGAGCCTCATAAAAAAGCAACCAAATAAGTACAAAGCTCCTCCCTACACCTCTCCCCTACCTCATTCCCTCATTCTCACTCACTCCTTACTCACCCCAAATCGGCTTGTACAGCAGGCGACTCATCCTCCCGTCCGCATTACTCACGGGGCCGTCTTGGCCATGAGACCACCGAAACAGACTGCTGGCCATGGTGCTTCGGACTACCCCATGAACCCCTCACTCTTTGGCCCTCTCTCTCCTCCTCTCCCACCACTCTTTGGCCCTCTCTCTCCTCCCTCTCCCTCACTCTCTCTTCTCCCCCCTCACTCACTCTTGCGCCCTCTCTCTCCCTCTCCACCCTCCCCTCACTCTTTCGCCCCCTCTCCCCCTCTCTCCTCGGCTCCCCTCATGACCTTTGGAGAGGGTCGCTAAGAAGTGAGATGTTCCTTGATTTTTTTTTCTTTTATTTTGGTTCTTCTCTTCGGACGAATTAGGGGAAAGGGGAGAGAGATTAAGAGATAGATACGATGACAGATAGATGTTGATTCCTTCCTCCGAACGAGCGTGGTCAGCAGGCGAGTCTCGTTGAGAAACACGTATTTCTCTCTCTTCACCGTAACTCCACAAAGTTTTTTTTTCCCTCTCTCCTCGCAATGGCAGAATATTCCAAACAAACCGACATCAAACATTAAAAAAAAAATATAACGCTCCGGTAGTTCCTAGTTCCTCAAATCCCCAGACAGACACGTAGACAAAGACACAGACACAGACAAAGACACAGACACAGGTACGGGCACGAGCTCTGCAACTGGCCCGCGCCGTGTGACTGACAAGCGCTGGCTTATGATGCTTGACCGGATAATCTTATCTCGCTCCTGTAACTTAATTTTTTTTTCTCTCTTTTCATTAAAGATGCTTTTATTATTTGTATATTTTTATGTTTGGTAATTTGTTGTTTGTTTATGTATTCTTCTCCGTTTGTCGGTGGGAATGAATGTTGCGATATTGGCATTATTTTTTATGTGTTTATGTTTACGGGAAATAAAATGTGTTGTGTGAGAGTCTGTGTGTCTGTGTTGCCTTCTCGTGATTTAAGTGTGTGTTTTGCTTGTGCTTTTTTTTCAATCTCTCTTTTTCTTAAATCGCTTTCATTTTGGTTTTTATCGTGACTCTATTTCTAGCTGTTTATCATATCGTATCCTGCTCTCACCTTCTCTGCTTTTTCTCTCTTCTCTCTCTCTCTCTCCTCTCCTCTCCTCTCTCTCTCTCTCTCTCTCTTCTCTCTCCTCTCTCTCTCCTCTCTCTCTCTCTCTCTCTCTCGTCTCTCTCTCTCTTCTCTTCACTCTCTTCTCTCGCTCTCTCTTCTCTCTCGTTCTCCTCCTTACCTCGCTTCCTTAATTCAATTTTTTCCTTCTCTCTTTCTTTTCTCACTCCTCTTTTTCCTCATCCTTTTTTTTTTCTTCTGATTTCCTCTCATCCCTTCGTCCCTCCCTTTCTCTCCCCTTTTCCTCCATTCCCCTGCTTCCGCTCCCTATCTTCCCCTCTCTTCTCTCCATCCCCCAAGAACCCGGATGCAAAAAGAAGGATGAGTAAGAATGAGTAAGACCATAGGAATTGTAACGTCAATATTCATCTAATCCTCTCATGAGTAACACTCATTTGTGGAATAGAACACTTCCCTCCCTCCCTCCCTCCCCCCCTCCCTCATTCCCTCATTCTTTCTTTTTACTTTCCTCCCTGTTCATTCCTCTTTATCCTCATGATTTAATGTCCTAACGTATCATTCCCCCATCTTTTTATTTTTATCTCCTCCTTTTACATCCTCCTTTATCCCCATTATTCTATATGCCTTAACGTATTTTTTTTTTCTTGATGTTCACCTCTTCTGCCCGCCCACCGGATGCGATGGGCGATGAAGGTGTCTTCGGGCGCGAGAACCTATCGGATCTCGCCTCCGAGGTCCCCTGCGTTGCTCGCGGCCACCGGATGTGTGGGGTTGGGGGATTGGGGGGGGGAAGGGGAGGATTTTCTCTCTCTCCGTCTCTCCCGTCTCCTTTCGGTCTGTTTTTCTCTCTCTTCTTTCTTTCTGTGATTTTCTCTCTCTTTTCTTCTATCTCTCCGTCTCTTTCTTTCTTTTCTCTCTCTCATCTTTCTCTCTTTCTCTCTCTCTCTCTGTTCTTTCTCTCTCTCTCTCTCTCTCTCTCTCTCTTCTCTTCTCTCTCTCACTCTCTTCTCTCTCTCTCTCTCTCTCTCTCTCTCTCTCTCTCTCTCTCCTCTCTCCTCTCTCCTTCCCTCTCTCATACTCCCTTCTCTCTCTTCTCTTCTCTCTTCTCTCTCTTCTTCTCTCTTTTTCTTACTCATCCCTCCCTCTCTTTCTCCTTTCTCTCATCTTCTTCTCTTCTCTTCTCTCTCCTCTCTCTCTCTCTCATCTCTTCCCTTCTCTCTCCTCCCGCCGTCTCTCTCTCTCTCTTTGTCTCTCTGCTTCTCTCTCCCTCTCTCTTCCTCTCCTACTTGTCCCCCCNAAAAAAAAAAACAGAACCCCACCCCACCCCTCCCCCTCACCTTATCCCTCTCCTCATCGATCAGCTGTTGGTACTTGGCCTGGCGGTCGAGAGTGGAAGCCAGGGTGGAGATGGTTCGCTGGTCACGTGACTCGTTCTGCGGGTTCACCATGGCCGTCAAGTGGTTCTCCAAGTCGCCCTTCTCCTTCTGCAGCTCCGACAGGATCTTCCTGCGAATGAGGGTCTGTGTCTTTATGAGGATAATGAATGTAAGGATAATAATGAAAATAATAATGGTAGTGGTGATGACGATGATGGTGAATGAATGATGATAATAATCATGACAAATAATAATAGTAGTAGCAATAGCAATAATAAAAGAATATAAAGATAATGATGATGGTAATAGTAACAATGATATTGACAATAATGATAGTAATGGTAACAATAATAACAATGATAAAAAAAAAAAATCGAACATACACAGTCCCCTCATCACTTCCTACCTTTATTACACGAAAGCAAATAAACAAAGGAACAGATAACGATCATAAAAAAGACAAAAAAAAAAAGAAAAGAAAAAAGACAAGAAAAAAGAGAAAAAAGAAAACATTGCAATTATCATAAATATTGGAAAATACACTCGAACATTCACACCCATTCATAAAATGCCTTTACCAACCCATGCCTTTCTCGTACTAAATGGCCTTCCGTCAGTGAATAAAGAAGAGAATAGAAGAAGATGAAGAAGAAAAATAGTCATGAACACCAAATTCTACTCTGCTTGCGCCTCATCATCAAGCAACTCCCTCATACGCCCCTCGCACTCACACTCCTCACCATCCCCCCTTCCAACCCTCTCATACACCCCTCACGCTCACACTCTTCACCACGTCCTCATACCCCCATTCCTCACCATCCCCCCTCCCAACCCTCTCATACACCCCTCACACTCACACTCTTCTCCACGTCCTCATACCCCCATTCCTCACCATCACCCCTCCCAACCTTCTCATACGCCCCTCACACTCCCATTCCTCACCCTTCCCCCTCCCAACCCACCTCACATACCTCTCATACTCGCACTCTTCACCACGCCCTCCCACCCCTTCTCATACTCCCATCACACTCCCACTCCTCGCCATCCCCCCTTCCAACCCCCCTCATATGCCTCTCACACTCCCACTCCTCACCACACCCC